CTGAGCTTTTGCAGCTCTCTGCCGCAGGCAGATTGTTTGTCGTCGAGTGAATAATGCGCATGCGCGGTTTTTTCTTGGGGAAACATTCTCACTACGCATGTTTATGCAGCAGGTTCTCGGTCAGAAAGCGTAACGGTCGTACATACAAACAAACAGAATAATAGTACAGATAACAGGAAGATACTGTCATGCAGGTAAAACACATTGATACATTTATATAAAACAATAGGTAGATACTGGTATACAGGTAAGGATAGGTTAAAATCAGATAGGTAGAGACTCGTAGTTTAATAGGTAGATGCAGGTAAATAGTATTTAGGTATACAGAAGTTCACTGGTTTAGTTTTTGATCTCCAACTAGGAAGAGATACGTCACTGGACGGTGTCTTGATCATTGAAACCTCTCTTACTTTCTCAGGAAACGTAGCTAGATACAAATCATAGATTTTTGTGACAATAATATAAGTCTAATAATCTGGTAATACATTATAGATTGTCGGGGGATCTCGTAATATGTAAACACTGTATAGATTGTCGGGGGATCTCGTAACCTGGTAATACTACATAGATTGTCGGGGGATCTCGTAACCTGGTAATACTACATAGATTGTTGGGGGATCTAGTAACCTGGTAATACTACATAGATTGTCGGGGGATCTCGTAACCTGGTAATACTACATAGATTGTCGGGAGATCTAGTAATGCGTTAACACTGTATAGATTGTCGTAGGATCTATTAGCTTGTTAATCAGGTAGGTGGCAGCACTGCCTATGTAAGGATTGCTCGGATTGTTTATCGAAAAATGTTATTTTAAATATCTCCTCAATAAATCACTAGAACATTACAATGCTATACAGTGTTTCCTTTTATAACAATATCTATGTAATGACTGAGTCACAAGTTCTGGGAATGTCTGTAAACATTATAGCAAAAAGTTTGAATTTCTTGTTCTTCTTTCTTCTGCTTCTTTTTCATTACATGATAATTCAAAACCAAAACAATGGTGTCAACTAATTTTACTGAGGTGACATAGTATCAAACAGAGTATCCACTTTTATAAGTATCATTAATAATTTTAAAAAATACATAATTATGGTGTAAAACGGTGTTATCATTACCCCTTGAAGTTAGCTTTCTTACAGAAATTTGATGTCCCTCAAAAAAGGTGAAGTACAGGATGAAAATGGAATTACCAGCCAATAATAGATTATTTGTTTCTG